AAGTATTGCAGTACAAGCACTGACGGGTAGGTGCCAAACTCATCAGTAGTACAGGTGTGTATCAAAACTATGCCAATTACTGTCACAAGTGACAAAGACACTGACCAATTCAAAATGGGGAGCCACAGCAGCCACCTTAAGAACAACCTCCCTAGCCCTGTGCTGTTCCTCTACAAAACTTGCCTGTCCTGTATGGGAAAGATCAGCTGATGCCAAGAAATTTGACCCAGCTCCTGCCGTCTAATCACTGGATCCCTGAAACCCACCAACAAAAACAACCTAACCCTACTTGCTGGTATTGGCTCACATTGAGATGATATAAGCCACAAAAGACAAACGCCACCTCGATCCTCCCTGGAATAACTCCAAGAATGAACCACCTCCAGTTGACATGGGAATTCCACCTGCGGAAAAACTCCCTGCTGCCTCAGACGCAGCATGGGCCCAGTGGAAAACACTGAACTGTCTTAGAACAAGAACTGGATGACCCAGGGTTGCTCTGAACAGATGGGATTACAAGACTGGACCAACCTGCTGTGACTGTGGAGAAGCAGACCACCATGGAGCACTCTCTCATCTGCCCTCTACTATCCAGTCCTTGTAACCAAAGAGACCTTGCAGAGTTTAATGCACATGCAAAGATCTGTGTCAAGAAATAGGATACTGTAATGTGACTAACGTCGTTTATATGAAACAAGAAGTCTGACACAAGCAGAAAATGTGAGAAATGTTTCATATTCGATCTTGGAATACTCTTATGCAACAGACTGAACATAGAATTCCCTGTGTTCCATTCATGCAAGATCAACCCCTGAAGGACCAAGGTCCAGAGACTGGGAAACAACATTGGTGTAAAAGCACTGCCTTTATAACTGTCTGTACTTTTTATTATTCCCCATCAATGTTTCACAGTGCCCTCTTTATCAAAGCATATATTGGTAGTTTTGTTGTGTTTTATTTGTCTGCCATTTGTTGCCAAACATGTTGTTTGCAACATTTTTACCTTGAGTCATGGCAGTTTTAATCATGAACAGCTCCTTGTTACTTATAAATGTAAGGAAGAATGTCTTCAAATTGTTATGTTCATGACCATAGCCTATCAAGGTTGAAGCAGGCATGGTCAGAATTCCCATGCAACATCGAGACAAGAATCCATCGTACATAGTCTAAATTGTACAAGAGGCCAACAGGATTGATGACAAGTTTTCATTCTTCATTAAGGCAAAAATATTTTGTAATCAATAACTTTTTACTGCACTATGCTTCACAAGTAGTATGATTGTATGCTTGTCAACAGCAAGAAAATAACAAAGTTTGCCGATCTTGTCACTATCATTCCTGTAGGCTTCTCTGAGGATGATCCTTTGTTTTTCAACTTTTCCACAAGCTCACAGCAAATAATCTTTTTCTTTCCCTTCTCTTTCCCCAAAGAGAACACAGGAAAATGATGATGGCTGCGATGATGTATGAACTTGTATGCTCATGTTTTCTGTGTTTCACAAATGTGCCCCACATAGCATAGGTACTTGTACATGTACTACTATTCACCTTTCAGAAAGTATGCATTCACTGAAAAACATGTACATATACTGTACATGTTTAAAAGTTCTAACCATTTTTGAAAATTTTAATTACAGTTTTTGCCCTAACACTGATGTATATTCATAACACTGTATACTCGGTGCTTGTCCAAGTTACTCAAGTGGGACTTGAACCCATGACCCACTGCTTACAAGTGCATACTTGTGGATGACATCTTTTCAGGGAGTTTTACAGATCACATGTATTTTACCATAAGGTTTTTTTATCTCATCAGGTGGGATGCATTCGTGTGATCATTCACAGCCACATCCAGAAGACAAAGTTGACAGTAGCGCAAAGTGATAAGGTCATGAGATGGTAACTTTTTCTGGACATCGATTTTGCCAACCTTGAACTAGTAGGTTTTTTTGGTTTTACCCATTCATGAAGATACAGAGTTTTTTTGTAGGGGTAGAGCGGAGTGAATGGATGGGTGGTGGGCGTATTGTAGGCTTGGAAGTTAGTTCCACAGTTTTGTTTTGTCCATCACAAGTCTTCCCAAGTCTGTCACAAATCAAGCAACAGGTCAATTTCAAGGCAGTATTACAGGTCTGGTCTCAAGTAACATTGGATGAACAATGATAGAGGAATGCTTATTGGAATTGTGGCTTGGCTTGAGACTGGTTGACTTTGTAATGGATTTGAGAGAAGTATAGTGATTTGGGGTGGACTCGACCACAACTCTTGACTCTTAAAGAGAAGTCTACTTATTTGACTAAAATTAGAGATCAGAGTTTTACAACACACTGTAAACAACATTTATAAAAAGGTTTTTCAAATTAAAGTCACATGTAGTTTTAATGAACGGTTGGTGAATGGCATGTCCTTTGTGTCTGTTTTGTAAAAAATTATCTGTGAATAAAAAAAATATTTACTCGGTCGTTGAGCATCATTTTCTCGGTTTTTCATTTTAAATGAATGACTTTCATTTTGCCGCATCTTGTACATATAGTAAAATTGTATGTTACTCTCTGAAATCAAGAGAGTTCTGTTTTTTTACTGATGAGTGTTAAGCTACCTGCTCATATCAATGAATCTAAATATTTGTACAGTACATGTTCATTGGAAAGACCAAGATCATGGATGATAGTAGGCGTGTGAGTAAATACTTACTCTAGGCTAATTAGGGTAAGATGGCAGACACTGCCAAACTTTTAACCCGTCGAAGTGATCGACAGATATATTAAGAACTGTAATTTTAGTCACAAAAATTTGACTTTAAACCTGCAATAAAATGGAGATTCCACAATACGCGCATGTTTTGTTTCACATGGTTTCAGTTGATCAGTTCCTGTGTTTGTGTATTTATCAAGAATAGAGGTTCCTTGTTCCAATGATGTTGACCTCAAAGACTTCCACCGACATTAAATAAAGTACGAGTGCATCGAAAGGAGTTATCAAACATGTAAATGTCTTTGATTTCTACAACAGTGAGCAGCGTTGTATAGGTTTTCCCGGTCAATTTTTGCAAATTAGCAACCAAGCCATTCTTTTATTTTATTTAAGTAGTTCTTAATGGGGTTAAGATCCATCAGTGCTCATCTGCACGTAAGTCAAGGTTAAAACACCGGCACCCACAAACAACGTCCAAACGTTACTAGCGGTCCAACCGACCGCTTTTCTCGCTGCGTTGAACAGCCATCTCAACACGCTTCCGATGATACCGGGCAAAGCGCCCAAAGCAGACAAACCCAGTTTCATTAACACGTTTGCTAAATTTTGCAATTGCCGTCTCATCCAGTCGGTTACGCCTCTTTTAGACGGGGGGTTTAGGTTCTGGGCTAGGCGTAGGTCCTGGACTAGGCGTACCGACCGCTCTGGCAGAGGCCACTATGCCAAATACGATCGTACTCGAAAGCCGTCAAGATACAATGGTTACGCCTTGTTCTCTAAAAAGCACTCGGATCTTTTCGCGTAAAGTTAAATCGCCGCCCATTATAGCCGTAATAGTTTCTTTTATTCGATTGATTTGTGACCGAAGCCGATCGGTGTCTCTGTTAATAATTTCTAACTTGCCTCACTTTTCCACTTTAAACTCGCTCAACTGCTTTCGAAGTTATGCACGTTCTCCTTCCGAGTCCGCTTTGTCTAACTCGTTCTTAACCTCTGGAATATTTTCGTCCAATACATCTAACTTACCCTGGTTTAAAATCAGATCCCATTTGACTGTCTTTAAAGCTTCGTTTAAGCAATACGTTCTCTGTAGTCTAGCCCTCCTATCTGAAGTTCTTGATCACGAGTTAGGTCTTCTACGATTTCAATGACTTGATCTGCTTTCTGAGGGAGTTTTTGTGGCTCGATAATTTCGGGGCGGATTACTGAAATTTTAGTATCCATTTCTTGGGCTTCTTATTTCGTTTGCCGACAACGTAGTCATAGAAACCTAAATCACGTCTTTTGAAATTTACGTTTGTTTTTCGCCTAATTCCGCTTAAGCTAAGAAATCGACTATTGTTGTTTTAATATGTAAGGAGAACTTTTTACCTCCAAGCTTGACATATAGACAACCTTTGCTATTGAGATTAAAGATGTATGAATCCCTAATTAATGATTTATACCCAGCTTTTTTTCTTGAATCACGTCGTAAAAATATTCATTACATCCTTAATTAATGTCATTCTCATATTTGCTAAGTCTGATGTTTGGCCTTCTGTAAACTTCGTTTCTTGTTCTACTAAATCTTCGACTACCACGGCACAGGACGGTGTTTATAACCTGGTCAGGATCGAATCTATTGTACTTCTTGTCGTTTTGACGGCAATGATGGATCCATTCGCGAATTGTGCTTCTATGGGATCATTACAGATTCTACACGCATTTCTTCTTTTCTTATGCTTACAAACTGAAGTTCTATTGCACTCTATACACCGGCTCTTCTGCCAGCCATGAGGACACTTATTCTTTTCTAAGTACTCTCTCTTCATATCAACACATTGGTTGCAGCAGATGTTAACGTCACCACTTGATCTAACTCTAAAATCAGAATGATCTTTCTGTTTTTTACATATTTTGCAAATTTTATTTTCCATCTTTATTAAATAAAATTTATCTCATTTTTATTGGAGCAAATAAGATACAGGGGGCTCAGTCATTAACACCAGCTTACTGAACTTCACGTCTGGCAAGTGCTTTTAATCGATTCCCTTTCACAATCGGGAACAACGTCGTTCTCGTCTAAACATTGGCCAAAACTGTTTCGAAACATTGCGACCCAAGCCGTGTTCTCTCTGAAGTCCTTTAAGACAGAGTTGTACTTCTGCGTCAACAGCCAACAAAAATGGGAGTAATGTCTGCCACTGAAACTGATCCGACGCACAATCGTCCACAATGGAAAACGTTTTGATACAGGTCAATCGCCTCATTTAATTCCAACTTCTCTCCATCCAAGTCACATGGATATACGTTTTCGTCTGTATATATCCACAGCCGGTCCAAATAAGTTTTGTTCTTAAACAAGGTCGGACAAATTATCACGATCGCTTCAAATGCAAATTTATACTCTGTTTCTAAAAGATCCAAAATCGACTGTGTTTTACCGCTACCTGTTTTGCCCACGTTTAGAGCTTTACTTAAACTTTTTACTTAAACCAGCTTTTAATACATAATAAACCAAGCCTTAAAATTCCCGTCTTCCACGGTTAACTGTTCGTCCATTACCAAAATACGTACATTGTCAACGGGCCCGCGGTTTCCGCCTCTCTTACCATTTGAATTGATATGTCACCTCCACCACCAAGCGGCCTACCGGATCCGTGAGCCGAGTTGTCGTGTTGGCCATGTCAAAGCTAAGCCTGTCAAGTTTAGATCTTTCACAACCGCCCGACCCGATTCCGTATCTGAATCCCCGAAATATTTGCAAACTTCGGTAAAGTGCTGATATTCAAATAATTCTTGGGAGTACAGTTGATTCGGCTTACCTTCGACCGTAACGACAGTTTTCGTAATGTGTGGGTTGAAAAATTTTTGCGGGTTATTGACGGCTGGATCTTTGAACAGGATTAAGACGCCTTTCAAACTTTTAATCGTCTGATCTATACTAATATTCCACAGCGTATCTGACTTGTTAACCGCCTGCTTTTTCCACGAGTGAATCCTGTCAAATAGGTAGTACACGGAGCCTTTGTGCTTTTGCCGTAAACTTTGGGCTAAATCGCGATTGGTGACGACTTCATACTCTAAGGTCAAGTCCGAGATGCTGTACTCTGCGGCAGTGTCTGTACTTTTGACCACTTTGTCGTGACCGTTAAAAGTCAGCTGGTAGGTTAGAGGTTCTTTGAAATCCGATGTGTAAAAGGGACCGTGACCTGTTAACAGAGACACGTCCAACGGAATCGCATACCTGTTCTTAAAAGCGTCGGCGATTGCATTGTCTTTACCGTCGTTTGCACCTGGGCTACCGTCGGCTGCTCCCAAACGCAACTTTACCACGTTTTCCTTTTTAGGCCAAAGTAAGCCACGTTTTGAGTCTGTGTCAGGGGCAGCAAATTATCTTTAAAGTTGGGAAATACGTCCGCGTCTCGGTAACTCACGATTTTGTTGCTTTGCAAGCTAACGTTGAGTTCGGAAGCTAGGTTACGCACCAAGTTGTTGTACACGGTTCAGTTATCGTCAGATGCTCCGTCTAGATCCAACTTGAAAGCCAGTTTTGCAGCACCGGGCACTACACGTCGTCAATTCCTAACACTGGAAACTTGACGTTTAGCGTGTGACCTGCTGCGATTGTGCTTTGATTGTGTGTAATTGTGACTTCGCGTCTTTCGCCCTTGATGGCTCGTGGCTTGATGGCTCGCAAAAAATATATCTTCGCATTTGCCCAATAGATTGCGCTTGTGGAAAGTTTCGTACCTCATTTCTACCCGTACCTCTTGAATCTGTAAAAGCATGTCAGAGGTGTGATCCACGTCGGCTTGCATGTCGCCAAGCATGCCCTCGATATTTATCTGATCTGTTTGAATTTCAATCAACTTGTCTTTAATTTCTTGATCCATGTTTTGATGTAAAACGTTTTTAAAGTTAAAAGCCTGTGTAAAATAAAATGGCAAGTGCTTTAATGATGGTTAGAGGAGCCATAGTCAGTGCATTGGCGTTCAATGGCTCAAATTTTTTATTTAGCAGCTTGACTAAAAATAGAGTAGACGAGGAAAGAGGGAGTCACGATTTAGCTTTGGAACAACTGGCGCAAGTGAAACAAAATTGGGAAACTCAGCGAGTCCATCTGCTGGACTTTTTAAACGAGCGCATGAGGCAAGAGCGTACGAGTCAACAGACATTTGTCAACGTCGACGAGGCATTGCGAGCTTACGCAGAATTGACCGGTAAACAGGTGTTGCCGTTGCCTCCGGAGCCAAAATTGTTCGATTTCTACGTGCCTTCGGAAGATCAGAAAGTTTGCAAGTTGGTGTGTATCTTGGGAGGGACCGCTTTGGTCTATTTTTTGGCTTATCGGTTTAGTTAAGTTTAGTTAGGTTTAGTTAACTTTATTTTAAAAAAGCTTCAAAACTATGGATAAAGTAAAGGATAAATCAAAGGACAAAGAATGTTCAAAACTATTTTACAGCCCCCAAGGCTACTGGAAAGGCGAAAGCGCCGTCGACTACTTGCGTCAAAAGACCGGTGCAGACAAGTCAGCTGTGAGATCGTGGTTAAAAAAAAACAAGCAATCTGGCAACTTTATCTGCCCGCCCCAAATTACGTGCCAATGCCGACAATGCTGCAATCGGAGTTTGTAATCGCAAATGAGGCGCATCAATTGGACGTTTTATACTTGCCTTGGGATCGAGTAAACCGTAAAACTTTTAAATACGCTTTGACCGTAGTCGACGTGGGATGCAGGTACAAAGAGGCCGAGCCATTGACGAGTAAAACAGCCGAACAAACGAAGTCTGAAGCTATTAAACAGATTTACAAAAGATCGTCTCTGACTTGGCCTAAATTTGTCATGGTGGACTTGGGATAAGAATTTAAAGGCGAATTAAAAAAGGTATGTAACAAACACGACGTCGTAATACAAGTGGGGAAACCGGGTGTTCCTGGGTTGCAGGGAATCGTCGAACGGTTTAATAGGACTTTAGCCGAAAGGCTGTTTGGTCATCAATATGCGCAAGAAATGGTTTCAACATCGGTGAACGTAACGTGGAATGGGTAAAACGTCTGCCCCAAGTAATAAAATCGCTCAACGAAGAAAAAATTTGGTTGATCGGGAAAGAACGTGCTAACGCTGTCAAGTTGGACTGAGTAAGGCGAACACCTGCAGCATC